CCCACCCCGGCTGCGTGGGCGTCTGTCTCCTTGGGCTGTGGCGGAGAGGGTAGCATTAGTCGTGGAGGTGAACAGTTGGACAGGCAAGGGGCAGGGGTGCGTCAGGTACCACCACGGATTGGACGATGACGTGCAGAATGGGGAGATTTCCTTCTCTTTAAAGCAGGCGGCAAGAAGAAACGGGCCTCTGTTTGTGGGTGCGGCGCTTGTAGGTTTTCATGAACGGTCGCGATGGAAACGGAGTTGGTAGGTCTGCAGGTTCGCTTTGGTGAGCGGCTTGTCCCTAGCTGCTGGTGTTTTCCTTGCTGTGGTGTGAAATGGTCCTTCGAAGATTGTGTTTGCTTGCTTCTTCTTTCCGAAAGTTTGCTGCCCTTTGAAGACTGACCCCGATGGCAAGGGACGTCGGTTATTGTTGGTTTAGCGATAATGAAGTTTATCCAATCAATGGCAGATCATGGAGGTCCAGAATAGGGGTCTGACAAGGGGATGGCGTACACAACTAGCATTCCAGAGATGGAGAAGGCTAGCACGGTAACATGTTCCGTCTCCCCTGTGAAGTAGCGGTGGCAGTGGGGTGGCCTCGCTTGCTTTCGTCCTTGGCAAGACGCGTCGGCCCGTGCGAACGAACGCTGTTTCTAGGATCACAGGGAGCCTCAGAGGGATGACAGCCCAGAGGCGTGCAATCCCCCCTTGAGATGCGCAGCAAGACGAGGGATGAGCATCTTCTGGGCAATGGGTCTCCTTACGAACTCCCTAGGCAACACTATCGAGGAATTCAGACAAGTTTATGGTGGGTTTGAGGGAGGTCTTGTCTGATGGGACGCGTGAGGCCCAGCACATCTGATACCTTAGCTGTGCGTCAAGTACGGAGCAGATAGGTAGAAAACTGTCGTCAACTGAATGCGCCGCTGACGATACATCTAGACAGCAGGTGTCTCGATGTGCTAGAGTGTTGTCTTTGCGCGTCTTCCTTTCGCATCTTGAGCTACATCGGTCAGGGACGTGTTTTCTACCAGAACACCAGAGCGGGGGATCACCCTGCGAGTCATGAGCCGTGCCGCGATCTCGATCCATCACCAGTCCAGCAGCTTAACCCCCCGAGACGATTTGTCCCCATCGTCCTCGACGGTGGATTAGATGAACAAGTCATTGGCCATGCCGAAGCCATTCTGGAGCAGGCTTCGTCCGCTTCATGCGCCAGACTCGAGAAGCTTACGAGAGACCACTAAACTGATCAGTCTTTGGAAACCTGGTGTCGGATTGCTATGTCATAGTCCTCTCAATGACAAACATCGCTTCTGTCAACAAGAGTGTGATGGTCGACGGGAATTTGGCACAAACTACGGCGCCGTCGGATCGGGTTTGGAGAAAGTAGGCCCCGATGCAGGGCACCTTGAGTCCGGTGAAGTCAAAATGGAGTACATGTATGTACATGGTAACATCGTTGCATCATGAAGAACATGAGATTGGCGGCGGCCCATAAGTATGCTGGTTGCGCCTCCCTTCTTGGCATTTCCCCCCTTTGGACTGAAAGCATGGCATCTTTCACGTTTTGCCTTGCATCAAAGTACCTGAACAGGCTGATACTAATGGGGTTTGGTTTTGTCAGTTAGATTCATCGTCATCGCCTGCGCCACAATGCGGCCTGTATCACCACTTCCATATGAGGCCAACGTCGTGATCAGTCGTATCTTGTGGGGGGTGGGGGGCACCTGCCGTGCTCACAGTGCTTGTGACACACGGGCTTCTGCTGCGAAGAGCATGTGCGGCAGCTTCCAGCGACCTTTGAAGGCGCTAGACAATCGTCAAATACAGTGCGTTAAGCAGTGCAGAGGCATGTGGTGCTCCCCGGTTTTGTGCCCCTTAGCTGGCCCCCCCCCCCTTTCTCCTCTAGCGCCCTGGCAGCGTGTCCCTTTCCTGCCCAGACCATCATCCTAAGGCTTTCCTTCCATTCCAGATCCCTTCCAGCCTATCTCCCGACTCGACACGACCCGACATTTGTTCCGGCCCTCATCCACGTCCCTCGCTCGCTCGCTCTGTCTGGTCTCGTGTTTCTCCTTTTGAGCATTGCTGCGACCGCATCCCCTCCACCGCTTGTCAGTGTTTCACTGGGCAACGAATACGTTTTACCTTGTCTCCCATTGAGTACTTCGGCTTCGCTGAGCTCTTGATTATCTCGGAGCCTGAGCATCCTCCTATCCGACCAACCGCGTGCACGAGACTTTTTCACGAGTCGGCCACTCCTTCACCTAGGATCACTGCGACGACGGATTGCCATTGCCCTCTCGATCACCAGGGTAGAAGCCTCTCAGATTCAGCCTAACGACGTTGCAGCCCCTTCACGACCGCATCTTCTTCTTCCCGTCATTCCTTGAGCGACGTTGTTGCAACATGATCTCGTCCTAACCCCGACGCACCTCCACGACCAAACCCTGCTTCGCTTTTCAGCTGCGCGAGGATCCGCCTGCGCATTTGTTTAACCTTCCACCTTTGATTCATCCTCCTCTCCCTCTTACCTCGCCAAGATGGCGAAGAAACTCTTCGACATACTGAGGCCACCAACAGCTAGGGGCGTCTTGTCGCCTCGACCACGCCCTAAGTTGCTGCTCGTCGTAGGCCTCATCCTGATCACCGTCTATCTCATCAACTTCACCTCACATGGCCGCGGCTACCACGTCATACCTTGGAGGTCACGCTCTGCCGAAGGTCTCAAGGCGGAGACCGAGGAGGAGAAACGAATCAGGGAGACGCACGAGCAGGCGTTGCGCGACGAGTTCGCCGACGAATACCAGGCGGCCAAGAGGTGAGCAACAGCAAGCAGGCACTTTGAGACGCAGCATGCTGACAGCTTTGACATTCCAGTCTGCCGGGCAATGATGCCATCTACGGCAACACTCTGGCTACCCTCATCAGCAAGGACATCCGATCTCCCGAGCATGACGCCGTCTTGACCGAGGCTCCGAAGAAACCCCTGGGCTTCGCAATGGACAAGCCCTATGTCTACAACCCATATCCTGCCTACCACAGCAGTGATTGGAGGAGGAAGCACCGCGGGCCGTACATCGCTTGCCAGGGTGCCAACGGCAAGACCGTCGAGGACATGATCGTCTTCAAGGGCCATCCTCATGATTTCCCGCCCGAGAGCTTTGGCAGCTACGACCTCCTCAACATGGACGGCAATCTCTGCTTCGAGCGCGAGACCCGACTCGGCCCTTACGGATATTCGACCGTCTTGAAGGACGGAGACCCCATCAACTGGGACCTCGTCAACTGGGGCGACCTGCAGGAGAAGTGCGTCTCCCTGAACAAGGAGCGCTATGACCTCACCGGCACCCCGAACCCCTATGTTCGTACCGTTTATCCCGAACTCTTTGGTGCAGCCGAGTATCCCCCGCCGCAGGGTGTCAGCAAGCAAGAAGTGCGAAGTGAGCATCCCATTGACGAGGAGCAGCGCAAAGAGGCCCGAGCTTCAGAGCAGGCCTCTGCGCACGACAATCGGGGCACCACCACGGATTCTGAGCCGGAGCCCAAGGTCGAGCAGAGGACCGCCGTGCTGCTCCGCTCGTACACTGGCAAGAAGTACACTGAGAATGACAAGCAAGTCATGAGGGCCTTGATCTCCGAGCTCAATTTGCGTACCGGAGGAGAATATCAGTGTACCTACTGCTTCACGTGCGCGACTCAGGCCTCGACATCTTCGGCGATGATCTGACGTACAAATACGTCCTTGACCAAAACGTCCCTAAGGAGTTCCATGGCATGACTATTCTCTGGAACGACCGGTCCGTCTGGGATATCTATACGGCCATGACCGAGGACAACGAGCGGAGCGTGCACTCGGCGCAATGGTTGTCTGTGCAAAAGTTCAGTCTGGAGCACCCCGAGTACGACTACATCTGGAATTGGGAGATGGATGCCAGGTTTACCGGTCATCACTACGACTTCCTACAAAAGCTTCAATCTTTCGCAAAGAAGCAACCCCGCCGAGGCCTCTGGGAACGTAACGAGCGGTATTACATCCCATCCTACCACGGCGATTATGATCACGACTTCCGCAACGATGTCGAGGCTCGTACAGCCGGCGACCAAGTCTGGGGTCCCCGCAACTGCCATTCATCAAGCCCATTGGGCCCAAGCTTCCTGTCAGCAGCCGGGAGCAGGATCCTTATCAGTGGGTGTTGGCGAAGAGTCGGATCTGATCACGCTCGGCCCATCTTCAACCCTGTTGGCAGCAACTGGATCATCCGTGATCCACGTCTGGGGCTACAGTGACGCCAATCATGATAAACTGGAATCTTCCTCGTCGCACCACCATCGTCACCCAATCGCGTGTGTCAAGGCGCCTACTGAACATAATGCACGTCGAGAACCTCCGTGGAAACCATATTGCCTCGGAGATGACCCCCCAAACCGTAGCCCTGCTTCACGGCCTGAAGACCGTCTTCGCCCCTCACCCTGTTTGGTTCGACCGCCCCTGGAACGGTACATTCCTGGCGAAGTGGTTTAACCCAGGCCCCCGAGGCGCGACTGGTGGCGAAGGCAGCCCCATGGGATGGGGACGAGAGCGCCGCTACCAAGGCTCGACTTGGTACTACCGCGCTGACCCGCCCGCGCGAATGTACAATAATTGGATGGGCTACGAGGATACCCACGTTGGCGGAAAGGCATGGGAAGAGAAGCATGGTCGCCCGTGTCTGCCGCCGATGATGATTCATCCCGTCAAGGAGGTCAAGCAGACACAACCAGGTTTCGAGACGCACTTTGAGCTCGCGTATGGCTAACGCATTATGGGGCCATGTTGGAGAAGACTCATGATCTACGACAATATTCTGCTTCACTACGTCTGGCTCTGAGCATCAACTCGATCGGTGAGATCGCGACTCGGTAGCACGATAGAGACGGATCATCGATATGGCTTTGCGTTTGCTTTTCTTTCGATCAAATTCAGATGTACAGCCACCTCATCCCCGATAAGGAGGAGGGCAGGCGGTGGTGGGCACGCTATAGACAGACATCAAGGTAACGTTAGCAGCGGGGGTGGACGACGGCGTGCATACCAGCCCGGGAGGGCGAAGAGCTTGGTGGAGGGCAACCTGGTGCTGTATAGTAGCACCTGTCGGCGCGCGTTCTCTTTGGGTTTCAAGCTGCTTTTTGAATGAAACCATCCCTCCTGATTACCAATACCTCTCTGTCCAGTTGTTTTTTCCTGCCCGTGGAAAGGGCATCTCGATCTGCATACGCGAACGCTTCTGCCACGAAACCTGGCGGTCCTTCCTCCGATGGGTGATTGTGTCTCCAGAAAATGATGGACCGGGCTGCCGGTAGCTGGAAGTGTCCAGGGGCATAGACTTGGGGCCTTTCACGCCAAACATTTCAAATTGACAAGTCAAAGTGCACTATATGTCCTGGTATGCAGGGTGTTTTCCCGCCCGGGCATTGATTTTTCCCTTGTTTTGAGGAAGAGACAAAGCCCAGTTAAAGGTCTAACTTTCGCAGTTTTCCAACCGGAAGGATCCATTTGGGGGGTACGCAAACGTTGTCCAGCTCTCGTTTCGGGGGGGGAATTGAGAAAGGGGAAAGGGAGGGGGAGGTCACCGGGCCAAAAATCCCTCACCTTGCCCCCCCCCCCGCGGAATACCGCAGCCGTTCTCAGTGTCCATGCCGTAGCCCTGGGGGTAGGCGGCCCTCCCGAAATGCCGCCCGGCCCACCCTGATGCCGCAGGTGAGGCAGGGGGCCCCTTTCGCAAGTAAAGAAAGGGCGCCGTCCCCGGAAGGGCTTCGCGGCCGGCCTCGAACAGGGCGTTCTCCTCCGCGGTGGATGAAGAGGCAGGTGGCGAGGCCGGCCCCAGAACCGGCGCCGCCCTCGTTGCAGCGGGGACAGCCCCCCTGGGCGCAGTTGCGGAGGCCGCGCGGGGTGCCGTTGTAGCCGGTGCTGAGGACCGCGCTTCTCGGCGCCCGAGACGAGGACGGCGCCGA